GGTTACCTGTATATTATGCAACCAACACTACTGTAATTCCATGATTGCGCGTGGTAACACATGCCTACGTGCGCAGAGTGCGCAGCACGACTACGAAAGTAATTGTATGCGTTTCGATGATACGACGATTATATATTCAGTCGACAACAGAAATATTCACGTCGCCTTAAATCAACCTTTTGCAAAAAGCTCTCCGGCGATCTCTTACTATTTATCGGAGTCAAGGAATCTACTGCAGAATTACAAAGGAGAACGGTAATGATCAATAGTTGAATTATCTAATCTGCAAAGTCCTAGAATTGATCGAGTGCTCTCTCGACAACGTCGATTCGATTGCTCCTTAGCAACAACGCCAGAGGCGAGCAATCGTATCTCTTCAATATTTCACATTGCACATCTCTCTTTCTCTCTTTACACAGTTAAATGTTATATTTCAAATCCACCAACGTTCTTCTTCGTAGAATTTCGCTTGCCAGACAAAGACCTCCGCATTTGCACTCGGCACAATTATTCGACAATTACAAATGCTCCGATATGTGTGTTTTCATGAAAACTGAGAGTTGCCCACAGTGGCTCATAGTGAAAGCAATAACACGACGAAAGGAGGCCAGTGTTTTTGAGGAAGTGGTTTTGGAGTATATCTAATACGTATATATATTTCTGTTCGCTACCGCGCGTCTCCTGATATCGCGGGGCCTTACGTAATGCGTAAAAAGACAGAGGACAAAAGAGAGACAGAGATACCGAGCGCGTTTCCTAGCGCGTGCAGCCTTGCCGAGGGACGACGACGGTGCAACGCGCTGCACCTTCGGGCCGCGGGTCGCCTATAAGCAAACCTCGTATTTATAGGCACTCGCTACCAAGGCCGATTCGCAATTTTAACTCACGTGGACACGCGCGAGACCTCGCGTGACGGTTTTTTTTTCTTCAACGCCCTGAGAACCAACCATTACTTTTATCGACGCTTCGGAAAGGCCCTCTTAAGCAGAAGGTGATACGCCTTAGCTACAGTAAGAATTCTATCGCGTACATTCAGCGGGAAACGTCAAAGTAGAATAACGTTGATTGAGCAAAAAAGAACACGTCGATCGTCAATTAGAATTTACAAACGAAATCAGTAGCGCTAGTCGAAGTTAGATGTATCCATATCCCTATATTTATACACTGGAAAAAAATATACTGAATTTTAATAATTTGTTTGAATAGTGCCAACTAAATATTTACTAAATCTAAAAAGATATATCTATCTATTTGTACCAACCAATGTAAAAACCAATAATTTGATTTAACTATCATTTCTTTCTATTAAGTAAATATTTAGATACTGTAAGTAAACGTTTAGTTAACATTATTTAAATATTTATTAAAGTTACAGGGTTGTCACAAATTCCTAAAATTCTATGATATACTTTTCCCTGATTTCCAGATAAAATTTCGTGATTTTCTCTGATGCTTTTAATAATATTTAAAAATTTTTTGTATTTTCATTCTGAGTTGGAATGTTGGAACCGTCAAATACTTTATTGAGAGCAATTTAACATAGCAATGTTAATTACTATTAATGTTGCTAATACTGTTTGCATTTAATTATTAAGTTAGTAATCCAAAATTGCGTAGGTGTAATGTACGCATATTGAACTTCTCTGAAGCCAGGAATTTAATTTCCAGAAAAATTTGCAAAAATTCCTGAACTTTTTCGTGATTTCTCAGATTTTCAGTTTTGTGGCAACCTTGATTTAGTATACTTTTTTCTCAATGTACAGCTGTAAAGCTATAAAATTGCTGGTGATACATTATTCACGCATAACTTTGTACTTGCGGCTGCACTCACGCAGAGACGTGTGTGAATTTTCGAATGTTTACATAAGTCATCTGATATCTCTCGAATGTACGCGAGATAATAACTCGATGTACAAGTTTATTTTTTAAAGCCGAAGATAATCCAGACTTAGAAGCGGCAAGACTATAACGGATCTCATCTTGCGCTCGATCCTGCCGAATCCTCTTCTCCCTTTCGCGAGGCCGACACTCCACCTTGGGTGAAGAACGATCGGGAGAGCCGAACCGACCGTGCACCGCGGGCGTCACCTTGAATTTTTTTTTTGGGTAGACATCCAAAACAGCTGGGTTCAACGAACGGCTGAGACGACGCCCCCGTTGTTTTGACACGGCTCGCTCCGGGGGAGAGAAAAAGATGCACATTTCTCCTGACTGCGTAGCCATAAAAGCTCAAGAGGCATAAACGCACAAGGCTGGACCTGGCAGCGAGCTGCCGAATTGCAATTTATTTATCAAACAGCTCAGTAAACGATTGCAATTTGAACTTTTTCCATTTGGCTACACTCTAAATTTTTGAGAGTGAAGTTTCACTCCTAAAGAGTGATAGTTGCGCCAGTTCGACAGGAATGAAATTTTCACTCTTAGAGAGTGAAGAATCACTCCAAATGGGAGTCAATTTTCAATCTATGTGGAAAGTGAATAATTTCACTCTCCGAAGGGAGAGATTGAAATTTCACTTTGATAAATGTTACGTTTAGCCTCTCTCTCTCTCCCTACATCTAATCTAAAAATTATTGGTTCATTCTACGTGTTTTTGCACAAAACGAACAAATATGGCAGAAAAGAAGCGTCGCCCTATCTCTGAGATATTAATCATTAAAGTTGACTTTTTAGGTTAGATTGAGAAATTCACTCCTGAAGGAGTAAAGTGAAGTTCACTCCTTCAGGAGTGAATTTCTCAATCTAACCTAAAAAGTCAACTCCTTGCCGGAACTGGCGCAACTATCACTTTTCTTGGAATGAAATTTCACTCCCAAAAATTTAGAGTGTATGGCATGTCGGAAACAAAAAGATCAATCGACGTATATGTTCAATAAAAAATTCTAGCCTAAAATCGTAATATTTTGTTCTCTGACATAATAAATATTTAGAGGATATCATTTCGTTGATTTCTAACACGAGTAAATAAAACAAACTTTTTCTGTTATCCTACAGTCGGTTACAATATATTGTTAAATTTATGATGTCAAATTGTATCTAAATTTGGAGTTATTATTCCTATAGGTTGTCACAATGCTTCTATATTCAATACATAGTTAATTTAACTGAAACATGGAATTAAATAGTGGCGTTAAACAATAGATTTAAACAATTTAACTGAAGAAATATATTAATTTGACTCAGATTTAGTTATTATTTACTAAGTACATACATTAAGATAAATACTATTTATTTTGAAAACTGAGCAACTTGAACAAAGAAAAGGATTGAATACATATGATTGTTTTTTTTAACTATACGTTTAATATTAGAATAATACATTTTAACACACTTGGAAATAAAAATAACATGTCACTTAACTGAAGGAATTGGTTTAGATTAGATTCTTTAATATCTAACAGTGTTTCATAAAATATCATCTCGAGTGCACGTTAATTTTATCAAAATTCTTTATCACGTCCCGAAAAGTAACTCGATTTCAAGTCGACCAAAATAAATCGCCGATATTATGAACCGTTTAATCAAATTGTATTCAGAATAAATTTATTCTCTGAATACTCGTTTAATCAAATCTTGTTTTTTAAATAATTCCTTCAATCTACGTGAACACGATATGACGTAAAGTTTAACAAAACACCCGAGAAGGAATAGGTTTACGTTTCATTAATTTTCAGGTGTCAGCAAACAAAATCAACTTAAAACACACTTACAAAATTTATTCAAGATACCAATTATTCCTTTTACATCAGTGAGAAGCGTACAAAGGCCGTTTGGAAAATTCTATTAAAGATAAAAGGGAGATAACGAACAAAGCTTCGTTTGATTCGTCATTATACAAATGTTCTAGTTCTTCAAAAGCCGCTGACTAAATTCAATTCTCAACGTAACACAAAAAAGAATCGAAGTGTAAGTATTGAGCCGCTGACGCAAGTACGTTTCATGTTCTTCTCACGCTAGAAAAGTGCTATCGTAAGGGTGGAAGGGTTAAAATCCCTCCCCCCCCCTCTCTCTCTCTCTCTCTCTCTCTCTCTGCTTCTCTCGTTCAATTTCTCTACTCGTCATATGAATCCAGTAGAGAAACCAAAGCCGAAGGAGGGCACTGCCGAGGGGACAAATAACAATCAGCCGTCAGGCTAGAGCGACGAGCGGACAAAGGTACCCCCACCTAACTGTCACGAACAGCTGG